TGGAGTAGCATATTGCCCATACCATTTTGTATAGAAGACTAAGAGTAAAGTACCAAGTTTTTGTAGGAAGCACAAGCCTAGCTTAGTCAAACTGTTTTTTCTCATTTCCAGATAGTGAAGATTTTTGCCCTAGACAACTCCGTAAAACTTTAGTGATCCAGCCACTGTGGGGTTACACACGAATTTTTGAAGCATGCTCTACCAGTAAGGTGATTTATGAATCAGCAACAGCGTTTTGAAGAACAAGGTTTCCTGAGTACCTCCAGCCGCTGACACTCGAGGGCCCTCAGGTTCACGAGGACCTTGCCTTCACGAGCGATATCAATTTGGCCACTTGGGCCATCATTCCATCTTTGATTAATGTCTCCTACACACCATACCTGACGATGCTAGCAAGATGCCCACTTAAACTCTTGATCGCTGAAGGTGCACAGTTTCAATCGTTTTGAATGGACAAAAGCAGTTTCGTGACGGAGCCATCGCTGACGAGAATTTGATGTCATGGCACTCTATGAATTGTCTTCAGCTACAAACTGAGAGCCACTGACCGCTTTTGGACCTTTTTTTAGATGGACGGAAATGGTTTTGATCTCGAATAGTTGGCGAACAAGAACATCAGTGATAAAACTCACAGATTACGGCAGTCTTTCTTATGTTCGTTTCTTGCTACACCACGCCAGTTGCGAGAAATAGGATGCCAAAACAAGCCAGAATTTCTTCCTATTTCAACTTTCTTGTAGCTAGAAACCAGTAGAGAAAGCTGTTTTACACGAATGTGCTCAACAACTGGAGGTAACTCAATAACTTTTGACTTCATCGGTCAGCCTCCTTAGACGTACAGACTGCACGCACACGGCACCCTGTTGTCCAGGTACCGGTCGAAGAAAATATAGCCAAAAATAGTAGCAGTAGTACCTGTAACGTTTTCGTTGTCTTGTGAATGTACATCTTCATGGTAACTTGTTCAAGCTTGGGTCGATGAAAAGCGTTGGTTACGAAGGATGGAGACTGATGTCCAGTTTCTAGTTTATGGTATACATGAGCCATATATATATGTATATATGAAAGCCTATTGAACACAGGATTTATTCACCGTGAACGATATGTAGAATCCCGCCATGGAAGTTGTTGGAATCGCCCTTGATGTAACCGTAATACAGAAGGCGTGTGACAGTTCCGTCACAAGAGAACACCCTACCTTAGGAAGTGTTGCATAGAGGTTTTCCCCACAGACGGGAAGTAATGGGACCCCTCTACATCCTAACCTCACAGGGACTGATTTCGGTCGGTGACGTCAAGCTCGAAACGCTTTGTGGTATTTACGTCCTAACATCACAGGGACTGATTTTGGTCGGTGACGTCAAGCTCGAACCGCTTTGTGGTATTCCTAGAACAGCATCCAAACCAAACTTTTCCCCACATCAATTACTCCTTCGATTGCGGACAGACAATAAGCCATTCGAAACGTCGCTCAGTGAGTAAACTGATTAGGAGGCCATGAATGATCGTTTGACCCTGGTGGTTGGATCGAACAGTCTCGCTGAGTGAATAACGTTCCAGAGTTTAGAATCCCTTGCAATTCTTGTCAAATAAACAGAGTCTATGGACTGTCTGTCCGACAACATACAAATAAAGGTCTTGCTGAAGTACTTCATCTGATGAGCGACTTCACTTTTATTAGGGGCGCCACGCTCTGTACCAGGATGTCTTTGTGGAGAACGTTATTCATGCGTTTGTGAATCTGAAAAACGACCCCCCTGAGAACCACTTCTAGATAACTGCTCATGGACCACTCCGATTGCAAGCGTGTAGATATCCGGGGCTACTTTTTCTGTGGTTTGTAACGACCAGTCTAAAATGGTTCGTCCCGCAAGATGCAGCAGGCCTGTGATTCTTTCCTCTGGCGGACTAAAAGAGGAAAACGGGTATTTGTCACGAAGTCGGAGGGCGGCAGAATGGCGTACACTAAACTCCTACTAACAAAAAGTGTCTCCTTTCGCAAGTTTCTCTTGGTAGAGAGACTATTCTGAAGACATCACAGGACGACGATAGATAAAGCCAACTGAGTCATCGGGATACTTTTTGAAGACCTTCAAGAGGTTTCGTCAGTTTGATTTCTTCAGTTGGGCAAAAGTTCCTAGGTGATGTTATGGACCACTAAAATCGTCCGTTACGTTTTATTAAATCCGTAGAAACGGATTTGCGTAAAACAAATTATGCGGGAGGAATTATTCCTCCTGAATCGCGCTTTTGTTTTGTAGACCGATACGATAGGGAGATTGTACTTTTCCGTCCTCAAAGGACTTCTTGAAGGTCTGGTTGCTCCTCACTTAAAATACAGCCGCACCAATGAAGATAAAAATTGTTCAATGAGGTGACCTGATCTGTAATCATCTGCCAATTAATCAATACTAGACAAATACACTCATTTGCAAACCAATATGGTTTTGCGGCAGATTCACCTGGAACCCAGCTGAATCTCTCGTTTATAATGTATTTAACTAGCTCCATGTAGTTTGGATTCAAGTAGTACATAGGTTTAACCTAAACTCAGGGACTGCGCCTAGCTGTAGTCAAACGAAGGGTGAAACCGGTCCTGGTCTGTCGAAGAGTTTTCAGCAACCATGTGAGTAGTTCCCTGTACGAAAATATACTACGATATCTCGGATATCGTGCCAACTGAAACATGAGGCGGCCTGTGTGCAGCACACTCAGTTGTAGAATACCATAAACGAGAGATTCAGTTGAGTCTCTCGTGAAAACCAAATTGATTTGCAAATGAGTGTATTTCTCGAAAACAGTCCGATTAGGGGTCAAGTAGAGAATAAAGTTGACGAAAACTCGGGGGCCGTGCTTACCTGCTGAGATCCAAAATGGGCGAAACCAGTCGTGGGCTGTCGGAGAGTGTTCAGCAACCTTGTGAGTAGTTTCATTTATAAAAAAACTCAAGTGGGCTCACTTTCACGTGGCGCGTAACTCGAACGCACCAGATGGCTGAAGATTAAACAAGACGCTTGCTGGAATCAAGGGACTGTTGGGCGCTGCAGTCAAATTGATCACGTAGTTTGCATTGTACTACTTTATCGGTCCCTGTAAATAGGCGCAGGTTGCTGGATTCTTTGAAATAATTGGCCAGCCGTTAGACTCAAATATATTGTTAGATATTCACACCACGATTACGAAGAGCGTACCGTCTATCGACGACTTAGTCGCATAAGTTAGAATTGAACTGTAAAGTGTTTTTCTGCCGTACAGAACATCTATCAATGACGGTGGATCAGGTAAGAGAGTGATTTCCCATCGGTATTTGAATGCTGGATGTCTCGGTGATCACGATGCATTTTTATTCGTTTGCGTCATACAGATCTGTATCTAGACAGCACTAACTGCACACTTCCTGGAAGATTTCATATTTCGGCCTCCATACCTTCAATCTAAGACTTAAACTGGTACGTCTGCAGGTATTACGGTAGAATTGCTTGAGATACGCCAACGGTCTTTCCACTGTTCCGACCGCAAACCGCATGGACAGAAACGTTCTACTTTGTGTAGGCAAACCCTCCTTCTGAAAAAGGGCGAACACGCATTTGATTGATTCGAACAAGTTCCAGTTCGAAATGCTGCGTTTCGTAGAGTTTTCGAGACAAATAATAGAGTATTAACAGAGTATTTGAGCAGAGTATTATGCTTTTTAGACACCTCTTTAATAGGTTGCTTTGCGCAGTGCTTGAAATCACTCCGGAGAAGAGGACCTCCTCTAAATATCACAAGCATTCCTTGTCCACGCTAGCAAAGGACACAATTGCATCGGGATGCTCAACATCATCTCCGAAAGGATGACTACCTTACACAGGAGGAATCAATGGACTTGTGTGACCTCGGTTGCAAAGTATTCCATACATCGCCAGCGTTTAATCAAGAAAATGCGCACAACCGCGCGCAATTATTATTGGCTAAATCGACCACTGTACATGTTGAAAACAAATCGATTGCTGATCACGCACGGCGCAGGCGTATTGTTTACAGCTGCATCACGTGAAACAGCTTCATTTCGCTTGGCCAGTGCTCAGCTCCATCGATTTCAACTCATTCGTCAAACATAATCAAAAATGCTGATCTAGTTTGCATAACTTTGGTGGTGTCCCATGCGAAACATTAGCTCAGTGCCGATGCCGATCGCACTAGTTCTTTTAAGAACTGTGTACCGCTTTCCCTGTCGGCACTCTCTAACGATGGCTGTTGGGTTGTAGAGGGCATCGTGAAACTGTGCCACACATAATGTGAGACACTCCTATGAGTTTTGGAGATGCATGCTCTCAGCGGTGCCATTCTTTTGGTGAAAACCAGCTTTTGACGTGATCAGACGGTTTGGTAACTCAAGCATGGACAGCACCCTTCACCCGCTTGTTCATCGGTGCTCACGGGTGACCTTGAGCTTAACAAATCAAATGCTTACAGTCTAACATGTGGGGCGATCAGAAAAAAACCCCGGCGCGAGAGAAATTTCATGTGTGCGCATCGGATGATCATAAACAGCCTCAACTAGATGATCTCTGTTAAAAGACCGCACTTCCAGCTGCGCAAGCCTGATCATCAAATGTATAACTCCGGTATCAAACGTTTGTTGTTTCTAACCAAGAGGACTGATAATGGATCCATGTTACATTCACTCCCCCGATCCGCTGAATGAAGACATTTCATGACCCAATTGCATTTTCCAGATACACAATATCTGTGGAGCCTGGATTTCAAGGTCGAATGTGGTGTGATTAAAAACATCCCGCCGTGTGCTACGCCCGATCATAATTCACTTACGGTAAATTCACCCTTACGCGAAAAAAAACAGTGTGATGGCAGGCTTCACGCTAGTATTACCTGCCCATGAACTTCTTACGGATTCGTGCTCCATGGTTTGCTCGAAAACCCTGCCCTTTCCCAAATATCAACCTACTTCGGAATCTCACCGTTGACCACAAGTTGTAACCTTCACCTGGTTCTAGACAAAACCCTTCGGTGAATGGAAGAGGCTCTATCAGCATCTATGTGATGTGAGTGTGAACAACAGCCATGGATTCGAGAAATACACTCATTTACAAATCAATTTGGTTTTCAAGAAAGACTCAACGGAATCTCTCGTTTACGATATTCTACAACTGAATGTGCTGCACACAGGCTGTCGAAGAGTTTTTAGCAACCTTGTGCGTGGTTTCCCCCTAGGAGAACGGCCATGGATGTTTGAAGGCTAGAACTTCTTCAATCAAACGAATAGGAAAGAGTTTAATGGTCCACCGAGGATAAAAAGCTGAAGGTAACTTCAGGGGAACATTTAAAACATTCCCTTTTAGTTTTCAAGTCACAGATTCCGTTTACATGCACTTTTAAGGACATGGGAATCTCATTACTGAAGAAGTCTGGAATCCAAGACGATCGGGGCGAAATTCATGTGTAGCAATCCAAGAATAGCAGAATATATTCTGAAAAAATGACATCTGATCTCTACAAGGGAGCTCAAGTGTCCAGAGGATCAACTCATTTGAGGAACGGATCCGTCTTGGACAAGTCTAACTCGTTCGACAGCAGTCTTACTCGTTTGACAGGAGGGAAAACCAATGGGGAGGACGGTTAATTCACTGCTGCGAGTACTTTGTCCACGTGACCCAAGGTTTTTTGAGGACAATCTTGATTTGTGTTCCCGTTACTTCAGTATATTCCGGACCATTCAACGCAATCCCATCACGACTACTCTATTCAAAAGCCAAGTAGGCTTTACTTTGTCCTCCCAACCGCGCGGTTACATTGTAGACGAGAAAATTCCGTCTGAACCCACTTGTCACGTGACTGGAGTCTTGTGGGAGATAAAGGGAGGTTTTCGTGTTCACCAGACACTCTGACTCGCACATTCGTGACTACGGAATCGTATGTATTGATATTTTCTCCTGTAAACTGGAATGAAAAGAAGGGACTTTTTGCGTGAAAACATGGGTAAACTGAAAGAATCGCGAGTTGCATTCAACTGTATTCGATTAGATTCACACGAAAACCCCTGAGGCGTGCTTAGTATAATATTGATCAACCGATGGGAACTATTTTTTGGACTGCAATAAACTTGGACTTTCGACTACTGAAAACCATTTCTGTGTGTTGTACATTCTTTCTAAGGAGTAAATGTCAATGTGCTTGTAAAGCGGGGATCAAAATTCACTGTCATCCGAGGGTAGCCTTATGAACACTTCGCATCCCCACCTCGAGGACGAACACTGCAACACAGATCGGGTAAACTGGCAACGACACCCGTGAGCTGGAAGACAGCTGATACATTCAGCTGCTCTTGTGGTCGATCCTGGACCAAGCGTCCATCCAACGATGGGGTCTGGAAAACCTGCGTGATTCATTGAAAGCGCAGAAAAGCCAGTTGGTCTGGAGAGAACTGATAAAAAGATGAGTGTTTATGACTTTGCAACCTACTTTATCTGCTACTAACCGTCGCTGTCAGTTCATCCGCCGAAAATCACTCGCTGTCGCATGTAGACGCAATAGTCTCCCGGTTTTTGGCATTCGGATAGGACTTTAAGTGAACGTACAAATTCCTACCATAAATCGTTCAGCTGTCGCACCCTTTCGGTACCAAACTGCCATGTTACCAGAAGAAAGCACAAGAGTTGGGATACTCTCGGGTTGGCCAACTCTAGACACAGGAATTTGAGAGTCTGAACCACGGGCCTTCCGATCGCGCTTTGTTCACCGGGCCGTCTTCTAACTATCAAGACGTCTGCCGAAAACTATAATAAAGTGTCTCGTTAAGAGCGATTTCCCAAATCGGTGAGCGGATTTTGTGTGCTCCTGTTGTTGCTGCAGGACTACTAACCGTAGCTGTCAGTTCATCTGCCGAAAGTCGATCGCTGTCTCATGTAGACGTAAGACGAAAGGAAGCCTTGGTGCAGGCAAACTTTTGAAGTTAAAAATCTTAAAAAAAACACGCTCTGCTAACCTTTTGTCATCCTTCAACGAAACAGTGAAATAGAGAATGCACTTATTCAGTTTTCATTGACGGCAACTGATTTCGTCCGATGATCCCTGTTCACTGAATGTTTGGGTGCCTGTGTTTCGATGACATCATGACTTCCCTTGAATATACAATGACTGTTGACTCCCCTTGAATATACGAAGACTGTGTGGGGCTCTGCGTGTGAAGTGAATTTTCTGTTCGTCAATTCACAGTTACAAACTGATCAATTTAAGTGGGATACCCGAGCAAACTTAAGACTGGTTGTTTGTTTGTCTCACCAAACCGGTCTCCGGGGTACCGTCGAGTCAGTCAGTATCGACGGTTTTTAGGTAGGACACTGTTTTCCGACAGTTCTCCCGTACTGGCACAAACTGAGTGGGGTATTTGCTGGTTCTCAAAAAACGGCAAAAAATCCCATGAACCAAATGTACTCTTTTCATAAAAGAAACTACTCACAAGGTTGCTGAAAACTCAAGAAGGGCGAAACCGGTCGTGGGCTGTCGAAGAGTTTTCAGCAACCTTGTGAGTAGTTTCCTTTATGAAAATATACTACGATATCTCGAATATC